TAGGACATACTGCTCTTATTCCTCAGCCCTGGGGGCTGGCAATGTCTCTGACTGCAACCAGCCTTTCTTCAGGCAGACTGCCCTGAATCCACACTTGATCTGCTTCTGATGAGAAGGTTTCTTACTGTAGCATATTCAATGAGCTCTAACAATTCAGTTCCAGAAATTATCTTTTTCTTGGTAGTGCAGTCAAGGCAGTTCACATCTGTGAGCTTCATGATCATGCACCTGGATGCTTTTTAACTTGTGCTGTTATGTTTTCCTAGAAACCCAACCATGGTGATACAGCACATCTTAATAAGTCTTTGCTGCCAGCACTTTGCAAGGGAGCTCTGATAAGGGAGTTTGTGTAGCCATTTCCTCAAATTGGTTGCTCCAGAGAAGTGCAGATTAAAAGGTCTTTAAAGCTTTATCTCTGCTCCTGGATTTTATTGCATGATAGAAAGAAAATGGGAAAACTATGTGGTTGACACTGAGTTCCACATAATACCAAGGTGTTCTGGAATTTGCAAATGCTTACTTATGAGAAGCTGATTTTCTTCATCTCCAGTAGGGTTCCCATCCAGGTCCAGTTTAGGGTTCACATCTCTAACTGGCGATGCTTTAGATGTACCAAGTGCCCTTGTTTGGCAGATATGCTTGCACACATGTTGTTATAACAGAGTAGTTCAGTTGGAAGGGATCTTCAAAGATTACCTAATCCAACTGAAAGGCTACTTCAGTGCTGATCAAAAGTCAAAGCACATTAATGAGGGCATTGCTCAAGTGCCTTTTGAACACTGATAGGCATGGGGCATCAATCACTTCTCCAGGAAGCCTGTTACAGTGTCTGACCCCCCTCATGGTAAAGAATGTCTAGTCAGAACCTCCTTTGGTACTTCTTACTGCTGTTCTCACATCTGGTCATCAGTTTGCCCTCTTGATTGCTAAGCCATGCTGCTGTCTTGTGTTGTCCCTGCTGTCACCATTAGCCCCATGTCCCTTCCTCCTGAGCTCTCCAGCCACTCATCACCTTATCTATGCCCATATCTGTCAGTTCTCCATCCCAGATGCAGCACCCAGCATTTTGCTTCCTTGCACTTCATGCAGTTTTTGACTGCCCAACTCTCCAATCTGCAGATCCCACTGCAAATCTTCTCATCCCTACAGGGACCCAACAGCACCTCCCGGCTTAGTGTCATCAACAAACTTGCTAAGGATGCATTCAACTCCTGCACCCAGATCACTGATAAAGTGCTGAATAGATGTAACTTCAGAATAGAGCCTTAGGGAACACCATTGGTGACCAGCTGCCAGTCAGATGTATCCCCATTCGCTGTGACACTTTGAGTTCTGCCCTTCATCCAGTTCACCATCCAGGGTAGCACGAACCTGTTTTTCTCACAGTTGTACAATTTGAAGGGAAGGTGATCTGCAGCAGTCATCATGATTCTTTTGGTGTTTCATGTAGAACAAAATGTATAATAGTGGCAACAGTTAAATCATTTCTACATAGAATGACATTTTACTGTTTTCTCTCATATATATATATCTTTTTTTTTCAAACATAATTTTATTTTTAGGCTTAATGGGTCTGTGTCCATGTTTCAGTATGATCAGCAGGGTGTCTGTGATTATTCCTCTCTGTCGGGTCTTACATCTTGATTATTTTTTCTTTGTATTGGCTGGATGGATTTGCACCTGCTCCTTTTTCTCTGTCCTTTCCTAGATTGCTTTCCAACACCTCCTCTTCACTGAAATTGTCAGATCCCTGGGTGTCTGTTTGGATAGCAGATCACCTCCTACTCTCTGCAGCTGCTTTTCTCCCTAGGAGAGTATTGACTTTTTTCTTTTATTTATTTATTTAGTTAGTTAGGTTTTTTTCCCCTACGCTGTAGGAGGAGAGGTGCAGAAATCAATATTTCATTAGATAGATCAGAATCAAGCAACGTCTGGTCAACAGAACTGGGGCAATGATTAGGGTTATAACAAAAGGCAACAACAGCATCAGAAGGGGGATGGTCAAGGCATAGAGCTGCTTTGGTGGCATGAACACAGACTCCTTGCAGAGAGTGATTTAGTGTGCTGCTTCTCACCTGTACCACATTCCAGCTGTCATCTGAACCATGGGAGGTTCTGAAAGTCAGCTAGAAGCTAGAGGCTAGAGTTGGATACAAACTTAAGAGCAGTAGTGCTGGCTGTAGAGGTCACCCTTCCTCTTTTGCTCCCTTGTCATCTGGCAGAAATTTTCAACTACACAGTTTGGACCATTCAAATACACTTTCATTCAGGAGTCACTGGGCCAAAAGCTGGATGATAATATGATCGAACCAGGACACACTGTGGGTGGGACCTTTTATTCCTTTCATCACTGCATAGAATTGCAGAATGGCTTAGGTTGGAAAGGACCTTATGATCATCCAGTTCCAACCTCCCTTGCCATGGAATTTGTTCCTTTCCAGTAATTCAGAACCAAGAGCAGAAAATTGGTAGTGTGGCTGGAAATGCAATTTGCAGAGTTGGTACTCTGGCAGAGAGTAAGGTGAACATGAACTGAAAATCAAGAGTTATCCAAGTGGAATGGTGGGAGCCCAGCATAAACCTTATAATAATCAGTAGATCTGTGAAACAATAGACTCAATCTAAAATGCAACTAGCAAAGAAATCAGAAAGATGAGTTGACTTTGGTAAATCATTTCATTAAAAAGGAGAAAGAGCAATGCAGAAAAAACATTTTAATTTTTCCCAAACTAAATATTTTGAATTTTTATGTCAAAACAATATTCACATGTTCAGTTTTGGCTTTCTTCCAGAAAAGCAAAAAGAAGGTTTAATAATCTGATTTTGATTTGGTTTGAGTTCTAGTTGAGGTAGAACAGCATTGCCTTTCTTTCTGAATTTCTAGTTTCAAGCACCTGAATTTCGTCTAGCATCAGTGAGGATAAGAGATGGTCACCTACACCCATGTTATGTCTCTGTGGGCTTAGGGTCAGTTCCTCTTTCCCACTCGGATAAAATGTTGATCTTATGTCTCTGACAAAGTGGATTGCTGTTAATACATGTCAACATCAATGGATTTGGGCACAATCTCAGAGTGTCACTAAGGCATTCTTGAAAAATTATGTGCTGCCATCCCAGAAGAGAAGCAGCACATAGCTAAATGAAGTGCTTACCAGTCAGTCAATAACAGAAAACATGATGGGAAGGACTCATGGCTTTTTTCACATTTAGTAATCCTGTTTTATCGTTATTTTTATCGTTAGCTCACTAAGCAGCTCTGAGACATTTCTCATCACCTGCTTTTTTCTAAGAAAATTTCACGGTGTCTTGAAAAAGACTTTTGGTGCCTGCCTAAGGAATTTGCTTGTCTGGTCCCAGAGAACCATGTGATACTGTGGCCCTTTGACAGCTCAGTGCAGACCTGATTCTCAGCTCTTTTTTACTTTTCAGGCGTTACTGTGCAAATGGCTTGTCTAAAGATTTCTTTTTTTTTTTTTTTTTTTACAACCAATGGATATTCTTTATAGGACAAAATGCAGATGTTTAAATTCAGTTGTTCAGTTGAAGAATGCTTTGAATTGTTGGCACTAATTAGCATTTTCAGTTACATACACAGACTTCAATTCTTTACTGTGGTGCAAAAGTGAGGCTCACAGCGGAGTTTGTGGAGCTTTACAATAGATTGCAAGGGGATTAGAAATCAGCCTCACAGAATCTATTGCTTTGATTTTTGATTTCCAGGCTGGATATGGCTCTGGGCAGCCTGGTCTTGTGCACATAGCAGGGGTGTTGAAATTAGATGATCATTGTGTTCCTTTTCAACCCAGGTCATTCTATGATTCTATGATCTTTCATGTAATTGCATCATCCCTATTGAAACACACACATACACTTCAGTTTATTTTTTATAGATAAACACTCATACTTAAACATCTCATCTGACTTTTTTGAACACATGCACAAACAAAGTGTTTCACATTAAATTATGCAGGCTATTTTGTTACTGTTGCTGCATTGATGCTGAGCATTTTTTGAAGGTGGACTTCATGGCATTGTGTTGTGGGTGGCTATGGTCTCAGTACAGAAAGCCTCAGGCACAACTTGGAAATGTGGGTCATTCTTAAATTGTAAATAATATATCATTTTCTTGGAGCAAGAGAAGTATGTGTGTATGCATCAACACACACATATATTTGTACATGGATTTACATATATATATATATTGTTGGTGGGTGATCTGATAGTTCTGGGCTCCCCAGTACAAAAAAGACAGGGATCTCTTGGAAAGAGTCCAGCGGAGGGCCACAAAAATGGTGAAGGGCCTGGAGCATCTCTCCTATGAAGAAAGGCTGAGTGAACTGGGTCTGTTCAGCCTTGAGAAAAGAAGACTGAGAGGGGACCTGATCCAGGTCTATAAATATCTGAGGTGTGGGGGGCAGAGTGGCGAGGACGGACTCTTTTCAGTGGTGAGTGGAGACAGGACAAGGGGAAACGGCCGGAAACTGCAGCATAGGAAGTTCTGCACAAATGTGCGAAGGAACTTTTTTACAGTGAGGTGACGGAGCACTGGAACAGGCTGCCCAGGGAGGTGGTGGAGTCTCCTTCTCTGGAGATGTTCAAGACCTGCCTGGATGCCTACCTGTGCGACCTGCTGTAGGGAACCTGCTTTGGCAGGGGGGTTGGACTCGATGATCTCTGGAGGTCCCTTCCAACCCCTACAATTCTGTGAGTCTGTGATATTCCATATCAGCAGTGAGTTTCAATCTCTTGCCATAGAATCATGGAATCATAGAATCATAAAAGATTCTTTGTGATAAAATACATCAAAACCTAACTAATTTTAAAGAAAAAAAAACACACGCTACAGTAAGCATTATTTAGTAGAGTCAATTTTTAAAAGCTGTTTATTAAGGAAAGTAAACTTTTGATGTTGCCCAGAGAAAAGTTTAATTATATTCAGGAAATATGCAGGATAGTGCAATTGATATTGACTAATCAACCTCTTTCTCTTTCACTTGCAGGAAAATATAAACATCAATGAAGCTTCCAGATGCTTGGTGAAACACATAATTGCTACTGAGAGTGATCCAGTTCAGCCTATTGAAACAGATATTATAAAACCGCACTTGAATTCTGGCAAGATTGTCAGCTGTTCGGCTTGCTTTAAATCCTAAGAGACTTCCAGACTATTCAGTTCAGCAAGAGCTGAACAACTATAATTCACAGTGTATCCCTCATCCAGAGCACTCACCCTACCCAGATTGTCCATAAACAGATTTCAGTCATCTCAAAAATCTACTTACGTTCTTCCATAATTTGTGAACAGCTGAAATTTGTTTCAAACTTTTCATTGATAGCAACTATTCAAAACTGCCATTGGTAATTAGTCAAATAAGACCCATGGTGATGGCTATGTTTTCCTGGTTGGGTGTCACCACCAGTGATATCAAAACCTATTTCTCTGCAATGTGGTTTCTGAAAGCTCATTTTCGAGATGTTCCTGTAGCAATAACCTATTTATTCCTTGTTTCTCCAGCACATCCTCTCAATTCCCTTACCAGACAACCATCGTCATTGCACTGTTTTGCTTCCCATTACACTTGAATGATCTCTTTTTCCGTGAGGGAGAAGATAATGATAATGAAGATATAGGTGTTCAGGGAGAGGCAACAAGAACATGCAATGTGAAATATTCCCAAGTTCATTCTCCTGGATGAGTTGGCAAGGCTGAACATGCAGCAACCATTCATGTCATTCAGTTCTTTAGATCTCAGATTGTGAGACTGAAACTGCGGTAGTTTTTGCTGTGTCTCCCTGAAGACTTACAACAAGTAAAGGGTGATAAAACAGGGAATCAAGGGTAGTCTCACAGGTGATGGAGCTGACAGGTTTTAGAAAGTTTATCTGTTCCAGAAATCCAGCATTTACTCTGAAAAAACTCAGTGATTTTGTTCCTACCTCTCCATCCCCCATGCCGTGTATTCCACAGGTCCCTGAATGCATCCCCTCCATTACGTTGATTCTCATAGGAAAATTTTTCACAATGTAATGATTAAACTTTGCAGGAACACATCTTTATTGAACAGTAGGATATATGTTTTCGGAGAACATTCTCAGAGAAAACAAAATTCTGTGCATGATCATAGAAATCAAAATGATCGTTAGAAGCAAAATGGAACGGTCTGGAGGGTAAACACTCTTGGAGAATTCGCAGCATTTGTTGAGCTGCATGCTGGAAATGAAATAGCTGACTTTCAGAATCTCATGAAATATGCGTGGACTCATGCAGACAAGTGTCTGGACAAAAAGTCTTGACAGCTGGTTGCAGGTGCCGCAAGACAGACTTTGTCCGTCTCCTGCCACAGACAAATCACTTCCACTTTCTTGTTCCCATTCAGCCTATTCCCCTCTGAGCTATCCCCCCTGAGCTGTGAAGATAGGTCAGTGGCAAGACCTATCTTCTGAAACGAGTTTCCTTGGAGATGTGTAACACCATGGAGGAGGCAGAGTGTTTGCAGACATCGCTGCAATACTCCACAATACTTCTTAGAGACAAAGGAGTAAAGCTCCCAGAGGCTAGCAAATAAGTGATGGCTAGGAAAAGCAAAACAAAAATCTCCATAGTGATCTTATGTTGTTAAACCCATGGGGTTCCAGTGTCACTACAGCTCAGTCTGTTACTGAATGCTCTGTTACTATATAGGCACTGCAGATGAGAGCCAAGGATGGAGATTTGGCCCTTTGTATGCTCTGCTTACAGCCTTAAAGTGATACATTTTTATCTTAGGATTTTAGAATGAGAAAGCAAGCTTTGATCTTAAAAATAAAAAGCCACATCCACGATTCACCAGCACGCACACACATAGATTAAAAAAGCCCTATATATATGTATGGACTGGCTTTTTTCAAGGAGAATAACTTTCAGATCTTGATTTCAGTGTCATCCTTTAACACAGGCTCCTGCTACGATCTGGGTCAAACACCTTCTTGCCTCAGTTTCCTCATCTGTAAAACAGGGATTGATGTACACACCTACCTCACAGCACTCCTTGGAAGTTACTTTTGGCACAGTGCCTTGATATGTTACACAAATGCCAAGATATATTATGGCTCAGAATGAATTATGAGTGCCCTCTAGCATAATTACATGGTGCTGTAATGCCCTAATGTTTAAATCTACCCATGGCTTGTCTGTACTGCAACAATTAGCTTCAATTATTCCACCTCAGTTAACCTGGTTGGGGTTGTAAAGCAGCATGGGGTGCCCGGGATGATTTGATTAGCTGCAGATGTGCTGCAAATGGAAACTGGCTGCACGGATGCCATGGTACTGGTTTAATAATCTCAGCAGCTAGGCTGTAATTAAGAACTACTGCCAGGTCAGTTATTTCAGATTTAAAGCATTATTTAAGTCAAGCTGTATGGATGCCTTAGTAAGATTAACACTTAATTCATACCTTCAGCACCTAGCACTGTGGGGAACACAAGCACCTAGGCATATAGATAGCTTCAAAAAGGCTTCACGAGCCAAAACCCATGCTTTACTTGTAAATGTAGATGCCTCAAGCAAAGGAAGTTGCTGTTTCTTCCCCCAGAATTACTATGTACTCATCTTTAGTTATCTTCTGATCACTTATCTTTAATAGCTTTTAGGCAACATTCATGTTTATGAGAGCTAAAAAGTCTGGGATAATGGCAATTTAAAAAAAAATAAACATAAATAAAACATTTAGAGGATATATAGTTTTTGTTTCTGATTTTTTTTTTCTTATTTTTTTCTCTTAATTTTGATTCAGTGCATTTTACAAACCTGCTTTAATCTCTGGTCTCATTATCTGCTCCTGTATTTCTGTCAGATTTTGCTGTAATCACAGTTTTGGGCCAAATATCCTCTGATAGATGAAGGTCAGAGTTTGGTCCATTTCTAGGCTAAACATTATATGATGTCACGTGAGACCTAAAGTCATACATATTATGAATATGTATGAATAAGAATATGAATAAGAATATGAAAGAATAAGAAAAATATGAAGAATTAAGCTTCCTTAGGAAGTTATATAACTCCAAATATTCGTATTTATTTGTATTCAAGTGATAAGAACATGTCAAGTCTCCTTCTATAGTGGAATAAATGTGTGAGTGCCACCTGGGCATCTACTAAACAGAGCCTTTGCAGAAAGGGTGGTTGTAGGCAGGCCAGAATGAAAGGTTTACTTTGGAATTAATGAGCTCACTATGCTGATACCTTTTCAGGAACAAACGTAATATTTAATTATACTGTGTCAATCCCAAACAGATTGGATTTTTAAGTTTTTTTAATTGATAAATTCTATATTATGCTTTCTTTGCTAATTGTTAGGGTCTTAATTGCATAGCCATTTCAAAATGAAACATTTTCCCCTTTTGCAATAAATAATAAAAGATAGAATTGTAGAATCTTTAAGGTTTGAAAAGGCCGATAAGATCATCTAGTCCAACTCCCAACCCATCACCACCATGCCCACTAACCATGTTCCTCAGAGCCATATTTACCCAAGTGGGTAAAGATACTGCAAACTGGATTTAAAATTCAGTCTTTCCAATTCTCTATAAAACCTCAGGATATCCCAGCACCTAGGACCATGGGATACACAGCTGATGTGCTGGTCATGAAGAATGAGACCCAAACACTCATGAAAAATGGTTAAGCATCTCTGCTAAAGACTTCAGATAACAACTCCACCACATCACCAGCCGTGACGGGGTGTCTTCCACTTTCTGTCCTCAAAGGTTGAGACAAGTAGTATCTCATGGTCCTAAATACATTTAGGTGATCCTAAATAACTTGGAAAGCACATACATATACCTCGAACAAGAACACAGGAGTGAACTGCAAAATGTGCTCTTTTATGACTGAAAATCATGATCATTATTTATTTGATCAGGTTGGATTTTCAAAAAAGAGCCATTTGAACACTTAAGTTTCGAGTCTTCTCATACGCCATTTTTAAGATGATGCTTTTTCATTGAACTTTTCTGTTTGGGAAGAGTTATTCCCGACAGTACTTCCCTTGTGATATTTTGTCTTCAGACTACCTCTCTCTCTCTCTGTCTCTCTCTCTCTCTCTCTCCTCTCATTTTTCTTCCTTCTATTTTAATTTGACTATATAAAAGGGGAGGGAGGGTGAAGGGGCATGTTTAAAGAGCAGTTTTGTTTTACTTCTTGAAACAGCATGTTCAGCTGGCTGAAGGTCTTAAATACACGAGGGAGCACAATTTTATGTCAATTGCCAGCAGTCAATGGAAATGTATTTTATTGCACCAATATTTATGCATGTGACTGCAGGTCCTATTGTAATTAAAAAGAAGATATTTCTGACTAAATGTGGAATATGAGTGTTTTGTTAAGTTAATTCATTAACTTTGTAAGGATATACAAATAGGCAGAAGTTAATTCAACTGTTCTCATCCACAGTCAACGTATGACATATTCCTAATGGCTTTGTTTTTTGCTTTTTTTTTTTTCCCCCACTTGTTTCTTTGTTTTTGTCATTGTCTTTTTGGCCTGGAATAGTTTCATTTAGACTGTTTCCTTTCTGTACATCCTCTCTCACAAAGCATCCAGATTAGCATTTGACATTGATTAAAGGCCTGCAGGTCTGAGAATGAAACTTCCTACTTTTTCATCCACTCGTCATCCCATTCATTTTGCAATTCCAGATGCAGTTTTTATAACTCTGCCTCTTGAGAGAGCTGCAGTTCAAAGTCTGTTTTCTGAAGGAAGAAATTCTGGCTCAGAAATAGATGCATCATCAATTCTGAGGCTTGTTATTAAACACAACCTTGGTTCTTGGAAGTCTGACTGGGTAATAAGTGGGCTACGTTTGCAAACCAGGCAGCATGCATGTTTAGGATGTAAAAACTGCATTCATCTTTAGGTGTCAGGGCAAACAGGTGCCTGCAGGAATGCTACACATTGACCTTTCATGATTCTCTTTTTGTGCCTTCAGCTGTTATACTGTCTTACTTAAAAAAAAGGGGGCATGTTTGCAGTGTGATTCCAGACTTTATTTTACAGTGTTTTTCTGTAACAACCCCCCGCCCCACACACACACACACACACACACAGACATTCTGGTTTCGTTCCTTTTTTAAAGAAATCTGAAATCTGCACACTCTAAGAATGGAAATGCCCCACAATGATAATATTGTTGCTGCTACACTGAGCAATCGCCTTACAATGAGGAAACGTCTTTGAACACTTGAGAATACTCATTTCCTGTAGTTCACTTCCCTTTACAGTTTCAGTGCATCTGCTGCCTAATTAAGACTAGAATCTCCATGCTCTATGTTTCAAATGCATTAATAATAGTTTACAAAGATAAGACATTAAACTGAGTAGAGCCACAGCATGCATCTCCCTGGAGTGGAAGCTAATAAACATGTCCTGGCAGACTATTCTGCATGTCAGTAGCAGGAGAAAGTTGCTTTAGTCTGATATTTGCTTAGTTTCTTCCAATAAATGAGCTTCCAGCTAAGCTTTAATATCTGAATTCTGCAGCAACAGAATAGTGCTGCTGGCAGTATTCACACCTGGCATTAGGAGTTTAAGTAGTTTTAAAAGACCACGCACTATTTCTTTCAGAAATATTACCTTCGTTAAAGGTTTAAATGTCAGTGGCATTAAATATTTTCTCAGGCACCTAAAAGATCATTTGGGTATCCAGTTCTCATAGTAATCCATCAATGTATTTCTGCTTTTATGAATTCATGCCTTAGGCTTTTACAAAGAAAAAAAGGGCAACAGAATCAACATAACAAAGGGAATGTAATCAGAATCAGGGTGGGGAGCAGCAACTAGGAATAAAATTGGGGTAGAAGCAAGAAACATTCAAGAGCAATGAAAAGATGTTCTACAAGTTCCTTAGAACTGCAGAAATTTCTTAGTGAAAACCTGACTCAGTGTTCGGCTTTTATCATAGAATCATAGAATCACAGAATCATAGAATCATAGAATCACAGAATGGCTTGGGTTGGAAAGGACCCCAAGGATCACCAAATTCCATCTCCTCTGCCATGGCAGGGCCACCAACCTGAAGATCTGGTAATAGACCAGACTGCCCAGGGCCCCATCCAATTCGGTTTTGAACACCTCCAGGGACAGAGCATTCACATTATAAGTTATCCATGCCCTTTATCAGTCAGAGGTCTATGAATTTTGCAGGGCACAAAGAGTCATGTTTCTTGCGTGCCTTGAAGTTTGCCTCTTCATTGGCTACCTCCCTGAAGCTTCCTAGCTTTTTTTTAGGAATTCTCTCTTTTTGGTGTTTGGTGCCATCTCATCTCCTTATCTTGCTATTTTAGTGAGTAGTTTTTATCATTCAGAAGTGTTTGGCATTGAGGCTCATGCTGCAGTGTGCTCTTTGAATGCAGATCATGCCTCCAAGGGCCTCTTGTAATTCTGCATTAGCATTTCTGATTAACAGTGATTATCAATATTACAGAATAACAGAATCACAGAATTGTAGAGTTTAGAAGTGACTGCTGGAGATCACATAGTTCAAACCCCTCCTAAAGCAGAGTAGGACACACAGGAAAGTGCCTGAGTGGGTCTTGAATATCTCCAGAGGAGGAAACTCCACCACTTCTCTGAGCAGCCTACAAAAGAACATCTTTTTTTCCACAGAACTATTGTCATCTCACAATAAAGAAGTTTTCTTCATGATTGTATGGAACTTCCTGTGTTCCAGTTTGTGTCATTTACCCCTTATTCTGTCACTGGGCACCATAGAAAAGAGTCTGGTTTCATCCACTTGACTCACACCCTTTAGATATTTATGAGCATTCATAAGATCCCCTCTCAGTCTTCTCTTCTCCAAGCTGAACAGGCTTGGATCCCACAATCTTTCCTCATAAGGGAGATGCTCCAGGCTCCTCATCATCTTTCTTGCCCAGACTCTCTGCCGGACTATCTCCATCATTTCCCTTTCTTTATTGAATTGATAAACCCAAAACTGGACACTGTACTCCAGATGTGGCCTTACCAGAGCAGAATCTTGCTGCAATACATGGATGATAAAGGAAAAAAAATCTTCAAACTGTCCATAAACCCATCTGGAGGAAAAGTGTGCCAATGTCAATTCCTTGTCTGTGCAATTCTGGCATTTGAACTAGATAAAAGAGTTCGAAACCTGAAAGAAGTGAAAAGAGAAGGTTCCCAGAGGAATCTGCCCCTTGAAATCTGTGTCTGCTCTTGGGCAATTTACAGGTAATATATATCTAAGGCTTCATCTGTTCCTGACTTGTGTGTCAAACAAACTCATGTATAAGTCTTAGAAGAAAACCTTCTTTCCTCTGGTTTTCCAAAGAGGAACCTGTGTGTGGCACAGAGACTGGAAAACACAGAGCACAGAGCTGGTGTGTGGCCTATTAAATGTTCTACATAACTTTACAAATTTCTTTTTTTCCCTCACAGAAGTGATACACTGACAAAGTGAACTACTTGTCAGAACTCTGTATCTTCCATGGAACTACTGTTCTTTTTTTCACTTAGCAGGCACAAGAAAAGAAAAGCCATAGGCTCCAGAATTTAAAGATATAACCTAAATAGCTAAAAAACTGTTGAGATGCCATGTGTAGGGTCTCCCACTGCATAGCAAACACATAATCATCAGCAAACAGGGAAAGGAGTCCCTAGATATTAGTCAGTCATTT